CTTTTTCCACATTGCTGGCATTTGTACGGTTTCTCTCCTATGTGGACACTCTGATGAGTCACAAGATTTGAACGGCAAGAAAAACCTTTCCCACATTGCTGGCACTTGAAAGGTTTCTCCCCAGTGTGGATTCTCTGATGCCTCAAAATGTGTGAATTCTGAGCAAAACGTTTACCACACTGTTGGCATTTGTATGGTTTCTTTCCTGTGTGGACATTCTGATGAGTTACAAGGTCTGACTTGCGAGCAAAACCTTTCCCACACTGCTTGCATTGGTAAGGTTTCTCTCCTGTATGGACTCTCTGATGCTTCAAAAAGTTTGAAATGTCAGCAAAATGTTTTTCACACTGCTGGCATGTGTATGGTTTCTCCCCTGTGTGGACTCTTTCATGAATCACAAGGGTTGACCTGTGAGCAAAACATTTTCCACAGTCCTTACATTTGAATGATTTTTCCCCAGTGTGGACTCTCTGATGTTTCAAAAGCTGTGACTTCCGAGAAAAACATTTCCCACATTCCTGGCATTTGAATGGTTTCTCTCCTGTGTGGATTCTATGATGAATCACAAGGGTTGACATGTGAGCAAAGCATTTTCCACACTCCTTACATTTGAATGATTTTTCTCCAGTGTGGACTCTCTGATGATTCAAAAAGTGTGAGTTCCGTGAAAAGCATTCCCCACAGTCCTGGCATTTGAATGGTTTCTCTCTTGTGTGGACTTTCTGATGCCTCAAAGTGTGTGAATTCCGAAAAAAACCTTTGCCGCACTGCTGGCATTTGTATGGTTTCTCTCCTTTGTGAACTATCTGATGTCTCAAAAGGACTGACTTGCGAGTGAAGCATTTCCCACACTGCTGACATTTGTATGGTTTCTCTCCTGTGTGGAGTCTTTGAGGAATCACAATTACTGACCTGTGTGCAAAACTTTTCCCACACTCCATACTTCTGAATGCCTTGTCTCTTGTGTGGGCTCTCTGCTGCTTCAAAAGGTGTGAGTTGAGAGCACAACCTTTTCCACTCTTCTGGCAATTGTATGATGTCTTCCTTGTCTGGGCTCTTGTGTAGCTCACAGGATGTGAATAATAGGCCAAACATTTCCTAAGCTCTTGCCATCTGTATTCTTTGCCTGGTATGTGGACTCTCTGGCAGCTCATAAGATCCAGATCAGAGCATACATTCTTCTTCCTCCAGTGATCTCCTATGAAGGACAAGTACAGACAAGACTGAATCCCAGCATTAAGAGAGGAAGACCTTCAGCAAACAACCTCTATGGGTTAAGCAAGCTGAAGATCCAAAAAGAAAA